AGTATTATTTGATATTAAATTTTGCTTGAAGTTGGGGGGCTTGAATTGGCCCTAAATTATTCATTATCTTTGGTATGTAAATTGTCTGCTCACCCGTTGGCCATGAAATGCTCTGGACCCAATAGATAGAGAGTGGAAAAGAATGAAATGAGTGATTCTGAGGATGGATGTCTTTACTTGAGAAAAGGGGATAATAAGGGGGGGGGGGGGGGGGAAGGAATCCTACCGAAGATGTTGCAAAAAGGATATGAAAAGGAATCCTACCGAGGGGTCTCAGGCCTTGATTTTCTATGAAGCTATGGCCACCACTCGCAAGGGTTGCAACATGCCCCATCATCTTCAATAATAACATGGATCTAAGATTTCTTTAATTTTATGTCGAGCTTTTTAGCTTTTTCACTTAACAGCGGTCGAACTAAAATGTGTTTGGACTAAAATCTGATGAGTGTGTTTTCATGGTAGGACTTGGATGAGCTGCCACTAGAAGCTGAAACCGTTGAAAGGGGATATAGCCTGCCCGAATCAACTGGCCTGCCTAAAATTCATGGGTTGCCAACTTCATCTCTGTATTCTACAAGCAGTTCTGGGGACTACTACGGAGCTTTCCAAAGAAACCAAAGACTAGAAAATCTTCACATTCTGGGGAATTCCAATCACCGTCACATGCCCATTCAGATTCCAATGGAAGTGGAAGGCATTACATGTCAGGTTTCTATCCCACGGTCGAAGATTAAGCTAACCGAATGAATGTGACTGTCTGTCCAATTAGATTAATTCAAGGCATTTTATTCATTTTATTACAATATGCAAACCTCTAGGAGTTGGAATTCAGGCTCCTGGAAATAGTCTGCAGGGAAATCACTGTTCTTTTTTGTTATTCCTCAAATTACATAGAATGGTCTTGAATGTTGGCCAGCAGTGCTTTCTCCTACTTAAGTTCTTGTTCCCTACACATAGGATTGGCATTATTATTTCACAACGCTCCAGTGAAAGAGTTGCAGAAGGAGTTGAGTTGGTCTTCCAATTTTTTCTTTTAATTATCAGCTTTCAATGTAATGCACTGTTGCCAAATATTGTTCATATCAGTTTTCCAGGCTGGCTGTTAGGTTGCCAAACACATTGCCTCGTATAAGATGCAGTTCAACATTTATTGGCTGCAACAACATACATTTGAATGAGATATTATTAGGAATGATGGTATGTTTGGGCTATTTTCCACGAGGGTTTTCAATGAAAATATCATGTTGTGAATGGATGTCTCAAGTTAATCACTTGTGTGATTATAATAAACTTTTATTTTCCACTTAATGGTCGTTAATAGAGGGAAACGTGCGAGATTAGTCATTGGGGAACATAGTATAACTAAAAGCCGTTGGCACACGTGTCTGTGTCACAGTTAAAACACGTTTTCTCGATCGACTACCAAAGGAAAGGAAAAGGACATTTGAATTGTTTGTTGCGCACTCGCCCAAAAATTACTTCCAAGGGGGTCACGCTATTGAGTAGAACACGTTTTCTCGATCGACTGCCAAAGGAAAGGAAAAGGACATTCGAATTGTTTATTGCACAAATATTAGTTCCAAATTGGTCACGTTATTGAGTATAATACTTTGATTTTTCTTGTATTTTATTTTAGTTATAAATTTTTTAGAAAAAATTTTAATTAAATCCGCTTGAAATATCAAAATTCAATTTAAAACCTACATTTTAACAAATTTATAATTAGGCCAAGAGATATTAGAAATTTGTTAATGTTGTTAAAGACTAAAATATCCTTTTATAGTTTAAAATAATATTATTTTGAAAACAAAAAATTAAACCATGAAAACTTCACATTATATAGTGTTTATTTATAAAAAATGTTTTTACACAAGAAAATTTGAAAATATTAAGATCAAAAAATTGACAATATCTAATATAACATTTTATGCTAACTCTAACATATTAATAAAAAATTTATGGGAATATGGACTTTTTTTCCCAGTAATGGGCATAGGAACTTTTTAATTACTTGATTTCAACACCATTAAATTAATAGTTTTTTGAAGGAAAACTTTTTCTTTATAGTTAAAAAATTCATATTATCATAATCTTAATGTATTAGTACATTTTAGCATCAAATTTGTGATTTCTTTCTTAAGCGCTTTACTATATCTGCCATATAGATGTTCTCATCATGGTATATCTTATAATCTCATTAATAAAATTCATACTAATAATTAATATGAACTTATATTAGAAATCTAAATAATTTTTTTCAACATTTAATAGGATGGATGAAGTAGTATGAACTGCTTATTATAAATTTAAGCCAAAAAGTCAAACATTTTAGTCTTTTAACAACATATGGAGCAAGAACACATGAAACCGATAGATCATCTGGCGGCATTTCAAAAAGAAAAAAAAGAGAAGCTAGGTCACAACTTAATTGGAATAATTACCAATTTACTTACTTAATGGGACATTTTAGTTTTTTAACAACATTTAAAAATCTCTAATAAGGCTTCTTGACCTAATTAAGAATTTGTTAAAAGAACATGCTTTAATTAAGATTTTGATATTTCAACAATATTTAATTGGGATTCTTCCATTTTTTTTATTCGATAAACTTATATGTTTTAAGATTTTATTTTTTATTTCATTATTAACTTACTGACTCTTAAATTTATTTGGAAATATTTTTTTCGAATTTCCGTTTGGAGTATTTTTTGTTTTATTATAAATTTTATTAAATTTTAATTTAATATCTTAAGAACATCAAATATAAACATTAATTTAATTGCCTATCTAAAATCGGAGATGGGGGAGAAAAAATACATACTCTTTCCAGTTTTTAATATAAGAGCTAATAATAAATACTTTGTCTTTCCTAGAATGTCATTACTAATCATATATATTAGCTAAAAATATATTTGATAAAACATTTAACATAAACAATTATTACATAGACCATCTTGAAAAAATAAATAAATAAATAGAAAAGACAAAGTGAATTGAGATTTTATATTTAGGACCAAATTAAATGTTAAACTAGCTTTTATATTAAAGACACGAGGTAGTATTAGATTATGAGGGCATATGAATAATTTTATTTTTAATATAAAAAATTAATAGTGTTCACCGAGGCGCATTTTATTTAAACCATATTAAACAAGAATCTGAATCAATATGAAAACCATTATTACAAATCCTTTTTTTCTCCTTGCCAAAAAACAGTTGCGTCAAAAGGCTTAACTCGACTTAGATTTAAAAATCTGGGCTAAAATTAGTCATTGGGCAACTGGGCCCAATGTTTCATGGGCTGAGCCCATGTAGGCCCATTGACGAACTTGACTTGCCGAGCAAGCAAACGGGGATTGCGGAAATATCATGACACCCCCATTGATCTCCAACTAACTGCCTTGTAATCATCTTTAATTTTAGATATAAATTTCAGATCAGAAGATTTAACAATTGAAATTTTCACGGAGGCGTATTCTTCAGCTCTAGCTCAAGCCCGCGTTTCCTACATTCTCCAAACATGCCTCGCGGTGGTTCTGGTGGTGAGCTCTCTCGACCTCGCCAAGATTTAGCATTTATGCGTGAATTCCCTTTTTTAATTGACAATTTCTTGCTTTTGGACTAATGAGATTGGGTTGTCACGCTTTTTTTCGATTATATCTTGGTTTTAAAGTATAAATAAAGAAATCCGCCCATGTTTCTATTTTAATTCGTTTGTTATGGAGAATATTTTGAGGAGTTTATGCTTATGGATGAATAGTTTGAATCTATAATGCCAGCGGATTCTGCCTCTGTTTCTGTTAAATTTAGGCTACTTTCGTGTTTCCCTGATGATGGGGAAGCCTTTATGGTTTCCTCTTTTTCGATGACAGCGAAATAATAGTATAGTTTTATTTCTGCAGGAAGAGCAGGTCGTTCAGCTCCACCACGAGCTCGTAAACCCCCTCAGCCAGGTACGTATGAATATGATAAAAGAAGTCGCCAAGTTTGCGTTAATCTAACTTTTCGATAAGTTGTCTTAATCCTACGTGATTGGTTTTTAAACTTTATTTCTGATACGAATCTTACTTTTCCTACCAAAGATTGTTGTTTACATTTTATTTCTCTGACTGAACAATCTGTCGGTGCCTTCATGCAGTTTATCATCCTCCTCCTCCAGCTCCTGTTCAAACTGGCGATGATAGATCATTCCTTGGTACCGTGTTTGATGGTATGTAAAGGAGGATGATCATTTTATTTGCTACGAGAGTATCAGACACTAAATATGCATGTCTTCTTTCTTATTTTAATTTTATAGGCTTGGCTTTTGGAACTGGAGCTGAAGTGGCACACCGGGCTGTTGGTGCTGTAATGGGGCCTCGTGCCGTTCGACATGAAACAGTGGGCTCTCAGCCTGTTGCTGCTGCGGCTCCCGCACCAACTGAAAATAGTCTCGGTGGTGATGCTTGCAATGTTCACTCAAAATCTTTTCAGGATGTATGTAGTTTTTATCTGGTTCTAGCCTATCCTTCTTTTATATCTTCCTCTTTTTGGGTACATGATCTGTGAAGTAGCATTTCACTGCAGTTACACAATCGGCATGGACACATATAGCTGCCTCCTGGTTTTAAATGCAATATAATATCAATTACAATCCTGTAGGCCTCACATCAGGAATATAAACTGGTGTATGGGAGTGGGAAACTTACTTTTCTTCTATTGGTGCTATTTAGTTATCATAACTGATAGATTGCTAGGAAAGTTCGATGATTTTGCCAATTATATAGATGAGTGAGAAGAGGGTATTGAATTCACTTCAACTGTGTGATGATATGGTATTTTCGCAGAGTTCTTCTGTCAAGTAATGTAATGGTGAGAGGTCTATATCAATGGTTGATGAGCATTGAATGAATCATTAGATAGTTATTTGCCCGTGTCCTGTTCCTGTTCAACTTTGATGTGGTTTTTTATTTTTGATTTGGTTATAGGATATTTCCTGAGGGACACAAGCTAATGTGGCTGATTAGAGACATTTTTTTAGCCTTGGTAGAATTCACATACCGAGCATTAGGTATTTTCATTGGTTTGGCTCAGTTCTATTTTGGACTAACTGAACTGATCAAATCAAGTTGTAAAATGAAAGATCTATTCCATTTTGGGTTTAGCTTGGTTTGGTTCCTTTTTCCTCATATTTTTATTTATTATTATTTTTTTAAAATCCTAGTCATCTAAGTTGTTTAGTCAAACAGTGATGCTATTGTATTAGGGCATTTGGAGCTATCAATCTCAAGAAGAAAGTTATCTAAAAAATTGATAAAATCATTTTGCTGTTGGCTTACTTTATCTTCAATCTGCCAAGGAGAAAAAATCCCATCGTTGATTTGGTTTGTTTTGGTGGTTTTGATTGAGCCAAACCAAATTTTGGTTGAAATCACGTATGGCACGTCCCAAATCAATTTCAACTTCTTTTGTTTTTTTGGCTTGGTTTTGGACTTGGCACCTATGATTATGAAGATGGATAATATTTGGCACTCTGACTTACGAAACGTAGTGTATTTATGGTTCCTCCTACTCTTGCATTATATATTCATGCTCAACAGTTTGTGAAGATTTGTCTCTTTCAAGTTTGGTGATGATAGAATGTTACAGATATATAACTTTAGTTGCCTTATTCATGTGCTTGCAGTGCCTGAACAGCAACGGGAGTGACGTTAGCAAGTGCCAGTTTTACATGGACATGCTTGCAGAATGCAGAAGGAACTCTGCTTCTGCATTCGCTGCTTGATCTTCTTCATTGACTTTGAATCAAATCAGTTTCAATAAAAATTTATTGCTCTTCTGCTTGCGGGTTCTCATGGTGATGTTATTGGAATTTTGAATAAGAATGCATGTTCTAAAATGTTTGCTACTTTATGAACAATTTTCATTCTAGAGATTTTGATTTGGATTCGATGCTTTATTTTCTATCAGGATTTCAATAAAAATGATATTTAGAAAATTCTTTAAACGATTTGATACTCGATTCAGCTGTGAGGACAAAATTTTATTTAATATCAGGTGAGATCACATTATGCTTTTTTTAATTAATAAACTTAATGGAAGGAAATAACAAATAGAATAAAAAATGACTGAACATAGAAATGAACGTCGTGTTCTGATTTTGAATAAGTTAAACCCCACGTATTTTCAGTGGGTTTGTGATTGATGGCCAAGAAAGCCCAAAGCTCAAAATCCGAATCAATGATCATACTCAACAGCCTTATAATTGTAAAAGTCATCACAAAATATTGTGACAGTATCTGCACTAAATACTGTAGCGAAGAAAACAAGTATGGCATCTTGTCGCCGTTCATGATTGTTTCTACAAAAAAAAATGCACTTTTAATTCTTCTATGTATAGCAATTACAAAAAGCTACTAATAAAGCATACAAATTCAAACTCATCAATTTTGTTATTGGAGAAATTTTTGATAGTTAAATGAGGAAAAAATGCTACTGGCTCTGGTAGCTGAATAATCAATTTGTATGGACTAATAAAATTAATTAAAAACAAAATAGATCAGCATCTTATATAATTAAGACAAAAATGAGCTCTAAACTTGGAATCAAAGGAATTATTATTTGAAGTTAATTCATCTAAAATTGCGTCTAAAAATAATGAAAGACCCGTCCGCTTGTGTTACTGATAAGGACTTGGAGACAGAAGAGCCACAAGCATGGATGTATAAGGGGGTGTTTGGCAACATTGAAAAATGCTTCTCAGAAGCACTTTTCTGCAAAATAAGACAAACCCCTTCACATATTTATTTAGTAAATCATAAAAACACTTTTGAAATTATAATTTGGTTTCCATCCAAACACCCTCTAAACTGAGCGCAGGACTCTCTTTATTGAAATTGAAAAGATAAGATATTAAATAATAATTGTCATTAATTTCCTTTTGTGTTGTTTTTTTTGGGGCTTTGCTTATCCCTTCACAACAATGGTGGAGGAATTGACAAAGCACATGCTCCCCAAAACAAAAGCATTCATTTTGCAAAGTGCTGCTTATTCTGAAAACCACCTTCCCATTTCAATCCTTACACTCTCATCTTCTTCCCACCTAAAGTCGCCAATTTTTTTTTCTAAAACATAAGTATTTTTTTATTAAAGACAATCCTATTCGAGACATTATCGAGTACTAAATGTGGGTATCTCTCTCAGTGGGGATTCGAACCTTGGTTTACCACGTTGTGAGGACTAGCTTCTTCTACTAGACCCCATCCCCGATGGTTACAAAGCGTGCTCGTCTTCCACATTTTTCATTTTTTCCCCCTCAAAACCTAACCTATAAAATAATATACTACTACCTCACTTTAATATAAGAGTTAGATAACTAACTTGTCAATATTAAAAAAAATTAGTTAATAAGTTAGTTATTTGCAATAAATATGTATTAATTTACCTAAATTATCCTTTTTAATCATGTGTATTAGTACTACTCCTTGTTAGGAACCTTTTACAATCAATAAGGATATTTTGGGAAAAAAATATAAATTTGGAAGATAAAGAGAATTGAAATCTTATTATTTAGAACCAAATTTAACTCTCAATTAGATCTTATGTTAAAGACCAGAGATAATGTAATTTAATTTACACAGGGTCACATTTGTTATAATTAACTACTATCTCTTATCCTTAATATAAGATCTAATTGACTAATTGAGAAAATTAAAGAAGTTATTAAATTACTTTAAATTATTTATATTTATCATTTCTCTCTACACTAATTTGACTCACTTATAAATTGATATATAATCTAATGATACATATAAATATTTTTAAAAAAATCATGTAATATATGTCATAATTAAATAATTTAGTAATTTTTCTAATTTCTTGAAATTAGTTAACCGAATCTTATATTAAGGACCGATAATATTAATTTGTTACACTTTCATTCTCAAAATTAGTTAACTAACTCTTATATTAAAAATCAAATAAAATATTTCTAAACAGTGTAGTTGAGATCAAGCCAAAATAAAACCGGACGACAAGAGCGGTCTGGCCATCAACAAGAAGATAACGAGCCGTTTCATTAAAAAGGAGCAATTTTGATTATATGATCATTTTGAATGAATGATATTTAAGATTGCAAAATCAGCAGATATATATATATATATATAGATATATATAAGGTAAAATATTGAATCTCACTGTTGTCCATTTGGTTTCATATTAGAAACCAAAACTAAACATGATTCTAATACTCTCTCTAATGTAAAACTAATTAAACACATTTATGCATTCTAGTAATATGTATTGGGGAGAATGAATGTGACTAGTAACGAAGACTGAGATTATAAAACCGATGAAGACCCCAAAAAAAAGATGTATAATGGCAATTAATTGGATCCACAAGATGTAATAATGCGTGGTGATTTGGAAGTGCTTGCTTACTTGTTTCATTTTCCTTCTCATATACTGTTTTCCTTTTTGATTCTGCATAATATTAAAGATATCGAGTCAGATAGCAATGGTTTGACAGTCTAATAACATAAAAGTTCTCATATAAATATAAAAGTATGTGACTTCGATCCTATTTGTAATTTTAGGCTATTGGTATTTATTTGTAACTCTAATTTGAATAATATATATTTTTCACTTGTGATGTGCTCTCGCTGCTTTAAAATACAAGTATCAGATAACTAAATCAGGCAACTGAAAAAATTAATTAAAATTAATTAAAGACAATAAATATATAAAAAAAACTATAACTTATTTTCCTAAAGTAGACAATGAATAAGAAGAGAGATGAGAGATAATAAGTCAGAAAAAAAAATCTCAAAAAAGTGACTGTTGAATTTCAAAATTTCAAATCAGTATTTGTTACTATATTTATAAAGAAAATGACTACATTCGAAAAGCAAATGACAACATATTTTTGTAGTAATTCCTAAGTTAGAATTTTGAAATTCAACAATCATTTTTTTGAGATTTTTTCCAAGAAAAAAAACAAGAGAGACATATAATTAATTAGACAAAGAAGAAAAAAAACATTAAATGAGTAGAAAAATCCAAATTATATCCTATGGAAAAAAAACCGTCTAAAAGATTTAATGTTTATATTTTGAATGAGAAAGCGTGTGTGTGTATACTCCTCCGATCCTTAATATAGGACCCAATTCTTGAGTTGTTTTTTGTCCTAAATATAAGACCCCTTTCTCATATTTATCAATTTTCTCTAAATTATCCCTATGAATACTTCCTCAGCCATAATCAAGTAAAAGAGGGAAATGGGGTATTAAGAAAGATGATTATGGTGTTTTAGAAAAAATGTGTCATTTTTATTATAATTAACTAATTTACCTAACTTCCTTAATTTAATCAAATTAGTTAAATGGGTCTTATATTAAGGACCGGAGGAGTATTATATTAATTGTCACAAAATGTTGAACTATATGTGATATATGTGAGTGATGATTGGTGCTCTTTACGGATAACTTTAATAATTCAAAGACACATGATATCATAAACAGGATGATACAGATTCCTTTTGCCCACTTTTAGACTTTGAAATTTGGATCTTCTCCATGTGCATCCTTTTATATTGTACCACGCACCATTCTATTATTATGCATGTTGATGTTTAATCATAACAATGGTGACATCTTTGTTATTTAATGGCATGTTATATGCCACTAAAAAAAAATTAGCTATAGATATCCAAATGATCTCACAAATAGTTAGCTTTTGTAAATCATCCACTGCTAAAATTTGTACTCCCTCCGGTCCTAAATATAAGATTCTTTTTGTAGTGTAAATTACATTACAAAAGAAGTCTTATATTTAGGATCGAAGGAGTAAATTTTTCCCTTATGCTCTCCTTGCATATATTAAAGGATATTCATCAAAAGGTAGTTTCTAATACAAATCACTATAGAAGCACTTTAGAAAAATCGATACACTTCTTTTATAAGGGAGAAATTTAATTACCTTGAAATTCATTGACAATTGAAGAGCATGCAATGACAAGTTTTCTAGTAGGGAATCACAACAAATTTATACTAGTCACTTATCATTAGAATTTTTTTATAGTTAAATTCTTTTATTGGGACCTCATGGTAATTCTTCTCTTTTACAAAAAACTAACTTAACTAATTTTCTCACTCTTTATAAATAGTTAACTAATTTTTATATTGAGGATCGAAAATAGTACTCCTCCGGTCTTTATTATAAGACCTCATTTGACTTTTTATTTGGTCCTAATTATAAGACCCCAATCCATTTTATCTCTTATATTTATGCATTTTTTTTCAAGATAATCCTTCTAATAATGATAGTTTTAACCAATATACTTAATTAGCAAGGATATTTTAGGAATGACAACACTTATTTATTATAAATAACCAACTTAACTCGCTTCCTTAATCTCTTCAAATAAGTCAATTGGGTCTTATAATTAGGACCGGAGGAGTATTTAGTATGAAATATTTAGTTATTTCATAAGCCTTCAAGTCCCCCCCCCCTCTCTATGTATGTGTGTACGGTCTTAAATTGGTTTTATGCGATATTTCAAATGTTGTGTGGTCCGCCTTTTTTTGGTTTGGTCTCTACATATATACCACTCCATTTTCCTATTTTGCATTTTTTCTTAACGCATGATAATATTTTTTAAAAAGCTTTACAAGCTTCACAAGCATAGAATTATGAATACCCTAATCAACAAATGCATTATTGAAGCTTCAATTATTAAGAGGGAAATGGACAAATGGGTATAAGCACGTGTCTAATTATATTTGTGGCTAACATCTCTTCATCCCAAAAATTTGGCCATTCAGTTAATCATTTTGAGGGTTTGCAGCAAACATCCAAATCATTAATTTGAAGATCTCCTTCAAATACATAAAGATCCTTTTTTTTTTTGTGTATACATAATGACTTCGGAATATTTTAGAAAATTATGCTAGATCTTGGAAAATGCCTAAGTAAAGTTTTTTATAT